CTTTTCTTAGCAGTGTGTCATGCCACTGGGATGGGTGATTCCTAAGCAATCTAAGTCTACCTTCTTTCACTTTCCAAGGTATTTTCAAATTCACAGAACAATCTAAAGCCACGGAGTCAAATTTTTCATTCTTTTTCTCTCACTGATAAATGCATATCTTTTAAAACTTTTCACGAAGCAATGGTGGCGCACACCTTTAATCACAGCACTTGGGAGGCAGAGGCAGGCAGATTTCAGTGAGTCTGAGGCCAGCCTAGTCTACCAAGTGAGTTCCAGGACAGACAGTATTGTTACACTGAGAAACCCTGTCTCAAAAAAATAAAACAAAGGGGCCAAAGATATGGCTCAGTGATTAAGGCTGCCTGCTCTTCCAAAGGTCCTGCGTTCAATTCCCAGTAACCCCATGGTGGCTCACAACCACCTGTAATGAGGTCTGGTGCCTTTTTCTGACCTGCAGGCATGTATGCAGGCAGAACACTGAATACTTAAAACAACAACAACAAAACTTTTCAGTCACACTGTATCTAAGACAAAAACCCAAAGGGAGGCGGGAGGGCTAGAAGTGGCTCAAAGGTTACAGCTGTGTACTGCTCTTGTAGAAGAACAACCCAGCATCCACGTACTGCAACTGCCTGTAACTCCAGTTCCAGGGCATCCACGACCTTCTTCTGTCCTCCACGGGCACTTGAACACATGTGGCATACACTCACACATACACTTAAATAAATCTGGAGGGGGTGGGAGGAGGCACCCATAGCAGAGCTGTTGTTCTCAGACACAGAAAAACAACCATTCAAAACCATTTGTGCGCTAGTGAGATGGCTCAGGAGGTAAAAGCCCGTGAAGCTCAACCTGACATCTATGGTTGATTCCTAGAACACTTGATGAAAGAAAGAAGAGACTCCTAGAGGTGTCTGCCGTCCTCTACACACAACAGTAACACTAAATACAATTTTTAAATTAAAAATCTTGCAAGAGTGTTTAAGTGAGTTCAGGAAAGGATGGCTTCATCAAATGTATACTCACCAGAGTTTCCAGGTTTAAAACTGGTCAGTTCATGGTGGGAAAAGAGCCATTTTCTCACATGGTTCCAAATAGTCTTCTATCTCCAAACTTCCAAAATTAAAGTCAGCAAATAAATTGTTCTGTCTGAGAATCAGTATCATAGGAGAACTGCTAACTATTTTCCCCTTTGGAGATGCTAGCTGATTAGACGTTGTCCTGTATGGTTTATTTCAGAGCACAGAGTATTTTGCATTCCCTGCTGTGGGACATCAGCACCGACCGATGCCATAACCTTTGTTCCACACGGCCGAAGCCCAGCATGCCAGAAATCGGTAAGCTCACCCACTCTCCACTCATGCTCTGGGTTCCAGTCTCGTGGCTTTCTTCTGGATTCATGAGCTCCCCTTTCTAGTACACACCCACCCCACGCAAATCACACTAACTTTCCTATTAATTATTACTTCTTCCAAATCTCAATCTAAATAAAGTTCCCCTCTTAGCGAACCACTGAGCTCTCCACTATCAGTTAGGATATCTCTGGTTACCAGGAAAGAAAGACCAAACATCTAACAGTGACTTTTGTATCCTGGAGGTTTTGGGACATGCAGAGTAACAGCCACCACCCACCACTCTGTGTGTGTGTGTGTGTGTGTGTGTGTGTGTGTGTGTGTGTGTTTGGTTTTGGTTTTTTGATACAGAGTTTCTCTGTAGCTTTGCAGCCTGTCCTGGAACTAGCTCTTATAGATCAGGCTGTCCTCAAACTCACAGAGATCCTCCTGCCTCTGCCTCCCGAGTGCTGGGATTAAAGGTGAGTGCCAACCACTGCCTGGCAGTGTGTGTATTTTTATATGATTTGTCATGTAATAAATGAATGTATTGTACTGCCCAAAACAGTACTCATCACCTGTATGTGAGGACACTTGAAATATGACTCATCCAAGTGGAGGACTGAATTTTAATTCTAATTCATCGAAAGTATGGAAAAACGAGGTATGTGACTCCTTTTCCAACTATAAATGTTAGAAAATATAAATATTGACCCAAATAAAGTAAAACAACTAAGTTAAGTATTCTTATTGACTAACTCTTACATATTAATTTAACCCATTTCTATTAATCTGTGTATCACCACGTGGCTGTGGCTTACCGGCTAACGTTTCAGCATGTCTGACTCCGGTAGAGGCTCCCTGGTATCTCTCTGACTCTGCCCTTCTTCCTCCCAGCATTCAGCTTAATTTTCCCCACCTACCTAACTTCTGCCCTGATATAGTCCAAAGCAGTTTCTTTATTCATTAACCAATAAAAGCAACACATAGACAGAAGGACCTCCCACACCATTTCCCCTTTTCTGTTTAAACAAAAGGAAGGCTTTAATTTTAACATAGTAAAATTACATATAACAAAACAGTTATTAAGCAAGAAATACAGTTACAATATTTATACCTACTTCCTATCTATTCTTCAACTCCATCAAAGACTTCAGAAGGATATAATATTACCTAAGTAAACAGGAAGTGCATTGTAAGCTACTTCCAGAACTCTAGAACTGACAGAGACCTCTCGCTGCCTGAACAGTCACCCAGTGTTCTTCTGTATTACTGAAGCATCCATCTTCAGTCTACAGCCCCATAGTATCCAGCAGGCTTTTCCACGAAGCAGGACATTTCAAAGACAGTTCCACCTATATTGGCAATTTTTCAGTCACTTTTTTCTCTGTCCTGCAGAATGTCTGGCAGACTCTTTCATGAAGTAGGAACCCCAAAGGATCATCCCACCCTTCAGTCATTTCTCTGCAGGTCCTACATGTCCAGTTCATTAAGCAGTCCAGGAAAGAGCAGTTTTTTGCCCAGATGGCTAAGCAACTCCATAAGGAGCCTCTTCAATGCCATCTTCCTCTTGAAGTAACTGGTGTTGCCAGGAGTAGACATGTCTCACTGCCATGAAAAGTCCTAAGTTCTTAAGCATTTTAAATGTCATATTCTGAAGGTCTCTGAAAGATTTGAAAAATACCTATCTAACTGAAATATATCTCTATACATCTAGAAAATCTAACTAACATGACTACAAGCTTGACTATTATAGATAATTATCTATTACCCTATATTTTTTAATTATACATTACATTCTTAAATGAGCTACACAAACATGGTACGTTAATCAAGAGCAGAAATATACATATAACAAAATTGACCTTAAATTTGTATCAATAAACCAAGATCCATTACAATGCAAATTATCCATCTCTACGCCAGTGATGCATACCTTTAATCCCAGCAGTCAAGGCAGAGGCAGGCAGCTCTCTGTGAGTTCAAGGCCAGCCTGGTCTACAAGAGCTAGTTCTAGGACAGGCTCCAAAGCTACAGAGAAACCCTGCCTCAAAAAACAAACAAACAAACAAACAAACAAATGTATCACTAAAATTAATTTTATCTGGCTTTTATGTTTTAATGTGGCAGTTAAAATTTTTAAGTTATGATAGGTATGGTGGCACATACCTTTAATCCAAGCATTGGGAAGTCAGAGCCAGACAGATCTCTGTGAGTTTGAGACCAACCTGATCTACACTGTGAGCTACAGGTCATTCAAGGCTACACAGTGAGACCTTGCCTAAAAAAACTTTCTTTTAATTACGTATGTAGTTAGCACTATATTTATATTGGTAAACACTGATCCAAACATTTATGAAAACGGAAACTGCTCTTTTGTTCCTGGCCAGCCTATACTCCATTCCAGGCTATTTTGGAACTCTTTTGTACACCAACACATTTAAATAGTTTACACAACCATTAACTCAAAACATAAATTTAATACAATTTCTCCACAAGGGTTTTAAGGGAGTTGAGAGGAAAAACATAGATGAATCGGGTTTTTTGTTTGCTTGTTTGTTTTGTTTTTCAAGACAGGGTTTCTCTGTAGCTCTTGCAGCCTGTCCTGGAACTAGCTCTTGTAGACCAGGATGGCCTCGAACACAGGAGAATCACAGAGATCCACCTGCCTCTGCCTCTTGAGAGCTGGGATTAAAGGCGGTCACCACCGTGCCCAGCTAAACTGGCACTTTTTACTCGCTTATTTATTTGAGATTCTTCCCTTATTTACTTTATTGTCCCAAACACAGAAAACTAATTTAATACTCTTCTATCATGAAATCATTAGTTAAAATGTTTTCTTTCAAGTTCTATAATTTTATTATTTAGGTTTAATCAAATTCTTCTGATTTTATTTAAGTCAAATCTAGTGGTTCCTTTTAATTGTGCTTCCAAAGAAATATAAGTACATAAAGAAATATATAAAAGCCAGGTGCCCAAGCTCATGTTTATCACCGCATCAATCAGAAGGCTGAGGTCAGGGGTTTCAGGTCAGCCTGTGGTACAGAGTGAGACCCTTTCTCAAAAAATAAAACAGAGCCGGCAAGATGGTTCAGCAGGTAAAGCTGCCTGGCACCAACACTGACGACCTGAGTTCGATTCCCAGGACTAGCAAGACTAGGAAAAGAAAATTGACTCCCACAAGGTGTCTCCTGACCGCCATTCGCCAAACATTCGGTCGCATGTCCCCATATAAAAATAAATAATGCAACAAATAAAAATAATTCGTGTTTTATCACCATAACTTCGGAATTCACCGAGCATGTCTGTTTAAACTAGTCACAAAGATATCACCAGTGTGGCTTGCCTAACGAGCTGCAGAAGGACAACACGACTGCAGCACTGATAAACGATTGAGTTGCTCCCTGAGAAACTTAGGGGTCCCGGCGAGGGCCCGCCCACGTGCTAGTTCGTCATCAGAGGCCCTTCCCCGCCGCGGGGCGTGGCTTTGCCTTCCACGCTCTTCTCCCCTCGGCGCGGGCCTGTGCTGACCTCCGTTCGGGTCACTCTCGGGCTGACGCCAAGCTCCCGAACGCGTTCGGGTCACCGACAACCCCAACCTCAGAAAGATCAGTCTTTCCAGAGGGGAACCAGCCGGAGCCGCGGGGCGGAGCTCGCGCAGGACACGCCCTCCCGATAGTGCTTCCGGGACAGGGGGCGGGGCCTCCGGAAGTGGTCGCTCGCAGTCAGAGGCTCGTTGTTTCAGCGGCCGACAGAGAGGGAGAAGCCGGAGCTTAGGCGACTCGGTGGGCTGTGAGGTGCGGTCACCTCTTCACGGCTGGAAGCCAGGACAGCGAGCTGCCGAGCGGCGGAGTGAGGAGCGCCCTCTTCCCGAGCTCGCCATGTCGCGGGGGTCTATCGAGATTCCCCTCCGGGATACTGACGAGGTGGGTGCCGAGTGTTGAGCGGGGGAGGGCTGTGAACTTGGACGATCCCAGCACCGACTTTGCTCCGCTTGGCGTCTGAGCGGAGAGCTCCCCGACCGCGGCTCCGTTCACCTGTTCGGCTTTCTGGCTGCAAGGACTTCGGGAAAGTTCGCCTGCAGCTTCTCGTTGTTGACAGTCCTCGGCTCGGCTGTCTTCCTAATTCCGGGGGGCAGGGGTGTGAGCACCGGGTAAATCTCACCGATCGCAGAGGGCGCTAGATGCCCCCCGGGTCTACCTGCTGCTCAAACTCGCAATCTTTTTTTTTTTTTTTTTAACCTCCCTGGGGATCTCAGAGGTCGCTCTTAGAGCCTTCGAAGAAGAGACTGTCTAGGCACACTGTTACACAGCTCGCTCTGCGAGATAAGGCCCCGAGATTTAGCCTCTCCGAGTGCTGAGTGGCCATGACCACTCTCCACCGTGGGTGATGTGGTGATATGTGGTTTGTCTGAATAAAGCTTCACTGGATATTTCACACTTTAATATTTGATCGAGGTAGAATTTATATCTAAAATCCAGTAGTCTTGGATGTATATATATATATATACGTATATATATATGTATATATATATGTATATATATACGTATATATATATATACGTATATATATATATATATCCAGAACACTTTTCTTCTTGTTTTTGGTACCCACATTTCAGGCACGTATATGACACACAACGCTGCCTCCGTAATTTGTGTTGGCATTCAACTTTGTCTGACCTCTGGGGTCGCGTTTTTGAGATCCCAGACCTATGGCATCAGCACTTTATTGAATTATAGGTTATACAAGGTTTCATTTTGTTTTTGAATAAGCAAGTAGTTGGGAATTTTATAGTTTAGTGATGGGAGGACAACTAACAGGGTTTGTCTGCTTCGCTGTGCTTTCACCAAATCAGACTACAACCTATTTGCCATGTGTTCCTTAAATATGAACATGTATTAGTTCACCCCACTGAAAGTGAATATACACCCTTTGTGAAGTGTGTATTGATGAACATTCAAAAATCGTGAATTTTTAAAAAGGAGATAAAACATTTATTTTGTGTTTTAGGTCATTGAACTTGACTTCGATCAGTTACCGGAGGGAGATGAAGTTATCAGTATTTTGAAACAGGAACACACACAACTGCACATATGGATTGCTTTGGCGGTCAGTATTCATATAGCATATTATTTGTTGATTGGGAATATGTGATTTTGGTTTTCATGTACAGTAATAGCCGACATGATTAAATCAGATGAATTGTACATGATGAAATGATCTGTCTGAAAATCAGTGTTGCCAGACATGGTGGCATACAGCCCTAATTCCGGCACTGGGGAAGCAGAGGCAGGTCAGGCTCTAAGTTTGGGGCCAACCTGGTTGGTCTACAGAAAATGATGAAAGTTATACAGCTCCACTGATATATATTTTGTTTTGGTTTGGCTTGGTTTTGGTTTTGGGGGGTTTTTTGTTGTTGTTGTTTTTCAAGACAGGGTTTCTCTGTAACTTTGGGGCCTCCTGGAACTTGCTCTATAGGCCAGGCTGACCTTGAACTCTCAGAGTTTCACCTATCTGCCTCCCGAGAGCTACTGAGATTAAAGGCTGCACCACCACTGCCCGACTCCACTGGTAAATTAATGTCTGTTGATAAAGACAAGATTCATTTAAGGTAAATAGTTCTCTACATCAAGGTTTAATTACTTAGTGATGATTTGGGGAAGCTTAGCTTATGTATAGATAGATAGACTATGTAAGCATTGCTTTCCATAACTTTTCTTCTAAAAGATCTCGAAGGTAATTAGGCTCCAAGCTAATGCATAGGAGTGAAGTTTATCTCAGTCTTATGTTTGTTTGTTTGTCACACCTGTTGCTGCCTCCATAATACGAATGTTGCTGGAAATTTTCAACGAAATCCAAGCTGAAGATCCTTTCAAAGCTGTAGACTCTGCTCCCTAGCACCATGTTTCCTTTTTATGAGAAGTGGTATGAGATAAACTCTATACTCATTATTCCTAAACTGGGAAGCTACAAGTGGCTTTCATATAATGATATGTAAGAAGTTCCAAATATTACCTTGATGGTCAGAAAAATAAGTTTGGAATTGGGCATTTTTTTTAAGTATCTTGGAAATTGAACCTAGGTCCTTGCAAATGCTAGGCAAACACTCATCTACTAAGCTATATCCCCAGCCTTGTTTTTACCTTTTATTTTGAGACAGAGTCTTACTGAATTGACTAGACTGGCCTTGAACTTTTAGTCTTCCTGCTCAGTCTTTCATGTATTCATTTTAAATATATATATGCTTAGTGCATAGTATACATGTTAATGGATTTCTCTGAGATATCTCCATATATGAATATGTTGTATGTTGGTCATATCTACAACCCTCTTCCTTTCCTTGCTCTTCTAGTAATCCATCTACTTTGAGGTTATCCTCTTTCTTTTCTTTTTCTCTTCTCAATTCCAGCTTCACATACAAAAAAATCTGTATAATGCTTAACCTTTTATATGGCCTCTAGTTCCATTCATTTTCCTGAATATGACATGATTCATTCTGTATGGGCCAGATAACACTCTCTTATGGATGGTATATCTACCATTCATCTATTGATAGACATTTAGGCTGATTCCATAGATCCATGGATGTACTGGGAACTGGAGAGATGGCTCAGCAGTTAAGAGCACTGGCTGCTCTTCCAGAGGATCTGGGTTCAATTTCTAGCACCCACATGGCAGCTTACAACTGTCTGTAACTCCAGTTCCAGGAGAGCTAGTATCCTCACACAAATGTATATGCAGGCAAAACACCAATCCACATGAAATGAAAATAAATAAATTACTTTTTTTTTTTTGGATGTGCAGGTGGTGTTTATATATGCTACTTTATTACCTTTGAGATAGGACTAGAAATGGTATAGATGGTTCTTGCCAACATTGTTGTTGTTATTGAATATAGCTATTTTAACTAGGGTGAGATAGTATCTCCATATATAATTTTTAAAATTTAATTTTTTATTTTTTGGAGGTTTTGTTTTGCTTTTAAAGATTTATTCATGTTGTATGTGTATGAGTGTTTTACCTGCATGTATGCTTGTGTACCACATGTGTGCCTGATGCCCTCAGAGGCCAAAGGGGGTACTGGACCCTGTAGGGTATTGGGCCCTGTAGAACTGGAGGTATGGACAGTTGTTAGTTGCCATTCAGTTTGCTGGTAACCAAACCCAGGTCCCCTATAAGAGTAGCAAGTGCTCTTAACATCTTTCCATCCTCTGGTTTGTTTGCTGTTGTTGTTTAGGGTAATGCTATTGTTATTTGAGACAGAATCTCATATCGGCCAGGCTGGCCTCAAACCTGCTATTTGGCTGGCTTTGAACTCATGATTTTTCTTCCTCCACCTCCCAAGTGCTGGGATTGTAGGTTTGTGCCACCGTGCCCAGTTCACAGTGTACTTTTCATTATACACTTTCCTAGTGGCTAAAGATGCTGAACATTTTCTATGTACTTAATAGTTTGTACTAACCCTTCTGGAAAGTATCTGTCACAGTATTAGCCTGTTTATTGAGTGGCTTACTTATTCTTGTGTTTGTTTGTTTGTTTGTGGTTGTCTGAGTTCTTTATGTATTCTCGAGATGAATTCTCTGTTGTTAGACTGGCAAAGATTTTGTGTAAGCCATCTCCTTCACTCTGTTGACTCCTTTGCTGTGCAGACCATAATTTATCATAGTTCTTTCTGTCTGTCTGTGCTTTTGTTTCCTGAGACATCTGCTCAGAGTTTCTTCCCAGTGGGGTGCAGTGGCATAGTTCTAAATGCAGGTGTTTCAGGGTCTGAAGCAGGAGGGTTACATGTTTGAAGCTACTCTAGGCTACATATTGAGACTGTTTCCAAATAAAATACAATAAAAAGTGTCTTCCATTCTCATGTGGATACACAAAGAAGTAGCATTACTGGCAGACATTGCCTTTTTGGTAGAAGAGTCAAGTTTTTCTGTCACCTAGAGATTAAGCTATTAATCTTGTTATTAATTGGTAGAATTTGTTATTAATGGCATGTAGCTCCATGAAATAGATGCCTAGGGAGGTTACTCATCTGTCCCAAAGTTACTGGTAATTTTTGTTAGAACTAAAGCCAGAGCTCAAGTTGGTTATAGAGAAGTCTTTTGTAACATGCTAGGCAATTTATATCCCTAGCTAGGATTCTGTTTATTCTTTACTGTGGGAGTGAGGGTGGTATGTATGTTGTATGTGCGTGTTTGTATGTGGAGGTGGATGTATACATGAGGAGGCCAGAGGTCAATATTGGCTGTCTACATTTTTTGTTTGTTTCTTTTTTGTTTTGGAGACAGGTTTCACATAGCCCTGACTGGCCCAGAGCTTATATAGACCACCAGGCTGGCCTCAAACTCGTAGAGATCCATCTGCCCCTACCTCTCAGATGCTGGGATTAAATGTGTGAGCCACCACATCTGGCTCCACATTGTTTTGGTCTCACTAACCATGGAACTCCCCATTTCAGTTAGAGTGACTAGCCAAAAAGCTCCAGGACCTACCTGTCTCTGTTACTTCAGTGCTGGGGTTAAACTATTACTAGATGAGAAGCAGAAATATCTTTTGTGGTTTCAGTTTTAATAGCATTATTCAAGTCTAGTAGGCCTGTGATATACTATGTGTGAACTGTACCGTTTGGTATTAAGTCTGGGTGTACCTGTGACAGCAGTGAATGTGACCATCACCCCAGAGTTCTTTCTACAGTTCTTCTCCAGTCCCCTGTTTCCAGACTCCACCCAAGACCTCTTGAAGAGCAGCCAGGCTCTTAAACCCCTGAGCTGTCTCCAGCCCCACTAGTTGCATGTTTGTTGCTAAATATTTTTTAGAGTCTTAAGGAAGTGGATCACACAGTATGTATTTCTTTGGTGGACAGGCTTCTTTGAGTATAATTATTTTGAGATTTATCTATGTTGTGATAGCTGTTAGTGACTTACTCCTTTTCATCACAGAGATATACAACAGCTGGTTTGTTGACTTGTTGATCAATAGTTGGCTTCCAATTTTTGCTATTACAAATGAAGGTTCTGTAAATATTTTGTAGTTTTTGTGTGTAGACACATGTTTGGTGATATTAATTTCATCCTTTGCCTTTAGCTGGAATACTACAAGCAAGGGAAAACGGAAGAGTTCGTAAAGTTGCTGGAAGCAGCACGAATAGATGGCAACTTGGACTATCGAGACCATGAGAAAGACCAGATGACTTGCTTGGATACATTGGCAGCCTACTATGTGCAACAAGCTCGGAAAGAAAAGAACAAGGACAATAAGAAGGACCTTATCACACAAGCAACCTTGTTGTATACAATGGCTGATAAAATTATTATGTATGATCAGGTAAGTCAAATTTGTCTGAATTTATGAGAGCCCAAAATACCACATGAAAGCAAAATATGTGTGTAGCAGATTCTTTGTGAAAAGAATTTTTACTGAAATAACTGTTGATATAGTCAAGAAGGTTTTATTAAAATCAGAATTGTATTAGTCCTTATACTGTTAAATCTGGACAGATTTAGTATATATGTACATGTTGAATCCATAATCCCAGTGTTCTTAGGTGAGTTTCAAGCAGATTTTAAGAATTGTGACCTTTGTTTTTGTCATTGTTGCCAGCACAGATTTGCATCTCAGGGTAAACTTCTCATTTGTGCTTAGAGAGTCTTCATGGCAGCTCCACTGGCCACTAAGAGAGGAGTGCTGTGCTCTGCCCTCTGTGCCTGCTTGGCATTTGGTAAATTGTCTCTGGTCTAAGTAAAGTCTGTATATTACAGAACCATTTGTTGGGAAGAGCCTGCTTCTGTCTACTCGAAGGTGACAAAATGGATCAGGCTGATGCACAGTTTCATTTCGTACTTAACCAGTCTCCAAACAATATTCCAGCCCTTCTTGGTGAGTGCTCTTCAGCAGGGACCTGAGGAATCTCTAGTTTGTTAGCGTTTGCCAGAGCGTGTGTGTGTGTGTGTGTGTGTGTGTGTGTGTGTGTGTTTTATATATATTAGATTATAATGTATGTATATGTGATAGATATATAGTAGGAATCTAGTTGGTCAGAATTTGTCAGAGCTTTTGTTTATAAATTATATATTATAAAATATGTACGTGTTTTTTATATATTGTAATATATTATGTTACATATATGCATATATATTATGTAAATATAATAAGCTAGTGTGTGTGTGTATGTCTATATAGAGTCCTAGTTAGTGTTTTATCAATTTAACACAAGATAGAGTCAAATGGGAAAAGGAACCTCAATCAGATTGCCTGTAGGCAAGTCTGTAGGGCATTTTCTTGATTGATAATTGACAGAGGAGCACCCAGCCCACTGGAGCAGTCCCACCCCCTGGGTGGGTAGTTTTGCATGTTAAAAAAAAAAGCTGGCTGAGCAAGTTGGGAGAAACAAGCCAATAAGCCGCATTCCTCTATGGCCCGTGCTTTAGTTTCTGCCTCCAGACTTCTTGGATGTTGCAAGGAGGGCTGCTTGTTGGTTTCCAGCCACCCAGCTAGCTTAGACCCAAAATAATCACACAGAAACTATATTAATTAAATCACTGCTTGGCCCATTAGCCCTAGCTTCTTATTGGATAATTCTTATATTAATTTAACCCGTTTTTATTAATCTGTATATTGCCACATGACAGTGACTTACTGGCTAAAGTTTCGGCATGTCTGACTCTGACAGTGGCTCCATGACTTCTCTCTGACTCCGCCCTTCTTTCTCCCAGCATTCAGCCTAGCTTTCCCTACCTACCTAAGTTCTGCCTTGCTATAGTTTCTTTATTCATTAATGGTAATCACAGCACACAGAGGGGACTCCCACATCACTTGGAGTTCCTGCCCTAACTTCCCTTCATTATAGACTAAACTGTAAGCTAAAATAAGCCCTTTCCTCCCCCAGTTGTTTTGGTCCTGGTGTTTATCACAGCAATCAAAAGACTAAGTTATTGTTTGTTTCCAAAGAGTCAACAAATAATCTTTTCATAGGTAACTACAAGCTAGCTATTTATATTGTTATTTTACATAAAGAGTTTTATAACTAAATTAATGCACAACCTATGGAAAACACATTTTAATATGTTAGTTCACTACTTTCAAGTATTTCTTACTGAGATATAAATTAGTGTAAAACAGATTTGTGTTCGTTAATTGATAGTGTTTTTTTGTGTGTTTAAATCACCACAGGGAAAGCTTGCATTTCATTTAACAAAAAGGATTATAGAGGAGCTCTTGCTTACTATAAAAAAGCATTGCGTACTAACCCAGGATGTCCAGGTAAGGGAAAATTTTAATTCTAAGCTGTTAGTGATCCAACTTAAAATGTTGAAAATTAATATAAAAAGATATTTTACAAGTAATGTAGTGACAGAATCAAGGTTATTTGTTCTGGGGTTAGGGAAATGGCTCAGTGAAAAAAGTACTTGTTGCCTAAGAGTAAGGCCTGAAATTTGTATCTTCTGCTCCCGTGAAAAGCCAGGCAGGTGTGGTAGCCATCTGTAATCCCAACACTCAGGAGGCAGAAATGGGATGCTGGCACAAGCCAGCTAGCTACCTTCACCAGAATTGGTGAGCTCTGGTTTCATTGAGAGACTCTGTATAGACAATAGAGAAAGATCGAGGAAGACACCCAGTATCAACCTTATGCCCCACCCCCAACACACAGATTCTTTCTTTTCTTGATGTTTTATTTGATTTAAAACTTGGCTGGGCAGTGGTGACACATGCCTTTAATCCCAGCACTAAAGAGGCAGAGGAAACAGATCTCTGTGAGTTTGAGGCCAGCCTGGTCTATGAAGTGAGTTCCAGGACAGCTATGGCTGTTACACAGATAAACCCTGTCTCAAAATCCAAACAACCAAACAAAAAAAACCTATGTGGCAGATTGTATCATATTTTTGACCTGTGCTACTTTCTTCCCAAATATTTTCCATTTAGTATATTTTTGTTTTATATCAGCTATGTGCCAGGAACTATGCAGAAAATGCAGCAGTAAATCCAAAGACAAAAGTTCCTGTCCTCTCATTTAATTTATATTCCAGTGAATTAAATAAGAAACATAGATACTGTGAAAGGTATTGGTGAGACTTGAGAACTTGAAACAACATCAGCCTATAAGACAATACACATAGATGGGGGAGTATTATCCCGGAAAGAGCAGAGCAGGTTGTGAGAATACTGTGGATGCCAGTGTATCCAGAGTGGAGATGGATGGAAAGTAGTAAGAAATGAGCTCACATTTGCTGCCCGATGCTTTTCATATTGAGCATCTAAGATTATATTGGAGACTCCAAACTTTTGACAGAGATGAGAAGCCTTGGGGGGTTGTGGGCAGAAGAATGGTGTGATCTACTTATGTGTAAGAGTACTGTTGAACTAGATGCAGACTCGAGTAGGATGTGGGGCGGCTAGGCAAGGACCAGAGGTATTGTGGACTTGGGAGAAGGCTCCTGTGCACAGGTGTGCACGTTACAAACTATTAAAGCTCACAGCTAAGGTGGTAACGGTGGGTGGTACATGTGGTTACATTCTAGTATTTTGAAAGGAGAGCTGGGCTGGAGAGATGGCTCAGAGGTTAAGAGCACTGACTGCTTTTTCAGAGGTTCTGAGTTCAATTCCCAACAACCACATGGTGGCTCACAACCATCTTTAATGAGATCTGGTGCCCTCTTCTGACCTGCAGGGATACATGCAGGAAGAAACCCTGTGTACATAATTAATAAATAAATCTTTTTTAAAAATCAGAAAAAAGAAAGGAGAGCTGATTGAAACAAGAAACAAGAATCAGTTTTAAGAGTAGAGTTACATTTTAGTACACTTGGCAAACAGTCCAAGAGAAACTAGTTTTAGACTTGAAAGGTTGAAATATCTGAGTCACAAGAAGACAGGCTTTTGTCTCATAGTTCATGAAAGAAGTCTGTACTGAACAGATTGACTTGGAAGTCACTGATATGTGCAAAGGCCTGATGAGTGCATGAAGACACAGGGGAGTGAGTGTAGACAGGAAAGAGGGCACTGGCACACTCAAGCAGTGCTTTTCAGCCTTCCTAACGCTGCGACCTTTTAATACAGTTCCTCATGTTGTGGTGACCCCGACCATAAAATTATTTTTTTTGCTACTTCATAGCTGTAATTTTGCTGCTGTTATGAGTTATATGATGTAAATGTCTGTGCTGTCTGCTGGCCTTGACAGCCCCTGTGAAAGGGGCTCTAAAGTATAGAGGTTAGGAAAGTGGAAGACTCAGAAAAGCAGACTGAGTGACCAAAGACAAGAAACAACTCAGTAATGTCCTTGAATGTAAAACATTTCCCAAGAGGAAGTGATGGACTGTGTTGCATTCTATGGTTAGGCCAGTGAAACAGGCGGAATTGATGGTGGATTTAGCAGAGTACAAATCACTGGTGATCTTGATCAAAAGTTTTACTGGAATAGTAGGCATGCACCTCATATAGTGGATGCCAGAGGAAATGTCAGAAAACAACGAGAGACAGCAAGTGTTTCATCAGTTGAGGAGTGTTTTCAGGAAGAACAGGAGTTAGCTGGAATAGAAGCAAGAAATATTTCTGTAAGATGGTAGAATGTTTGAATATGGCTGAGAATGGTCCAGAAAGGAAAAATATTATAATGCAGGAAAAATGACAGGCAGTACTATCTGATGTCTTCAAATAGATGAGACTGGATCCCATGTCCAGTGTAGTGTTGCCTTAGGGAGAGACATATGTGTGCTCTGTTATGATCTTAAAATAAGATAGGTGTATCAGCATAGCTCAGAAGTGAATGACGGCAGCTATATGTACTCGGACACAGCTTGAAGGTCTTGATGGGTTTTTTATTTTCTATTTAAATACTGGGGTTATTCTTGAATGCACCAGTGTATATGTGTGTTCAGTGTGTGTGTGTGTGTGTGTATGTATGTATGTGTGTGTATGTATGTATGTGTGTGTGTGTGCACATATGTATACATAATAATTTTTAAATAGAAATGGAGCCAGTGGTGTTGGTTTACTGCAGTGGGTGCTACATGATAGGAAGAATGCCAGTATTACAATTATTCTGCTGTATGGTAAGGGTGGTACCCATAAGAGGAGAGAAGAATTGGAATGGGATGGTCTAGCTACTAGTGAAATCAGATGTGTGGTAGGTAGGCCAGCAGTTCTTAAGGAGTCCAGATACTGGAAATTGAACTCTTAAAGTGTCCTAGGTTGACAAGACAAATGACTTGATTTTACTTATTTTTTAGCTGAAGTTCGTTTAGGAATGGGCCATTGCTTTGTCAAACTTAACAAACTGGAGAAAGCTCGACTAGCATTCAGCAGAGCACTGGAACTCAACTCTAAGTGTGTGGGAGCACTGGTTGGACTGGCTGTTCTAGAACTCAACAATAAAGAGGTACGGGAGGAAAGATAGTCTCTAGCTCCGGGTTTGTTGGGCCTGCTGTCCTTTATCTAGGACTGCTAGAACAAGTTATGCTTTCGAAATCAAGATTTCAGGTTATAGATAAGGAAATGTGCCTTGCTGCAGGCACAATCCCCAAAGTAAGCACATTTCTACGTCATAGCCATGTGAAGATAGCCTCACAGCTTAGGTAAGGTGTCCCTGCCACGTGATTTTGCTTTATGACCAGCACACGTGTACATGTGACACACACACACTCCTACACCCCTCAAAAATGGATTTAGAACTTTGTGAAGTTTAGAATTTCAGATGAAAGATTGCAGGCCTATAAATCTGTCTGGAATGCATCTGACAAAGTAAGAAACCTGCACTCAGTTTAAACATTAGCATTTTTATATTTTACTAAACCAGTGTCTAAGGTCTCAAATTTGATACCACAGTGTCATCAGACTCAGAGATTTTTTTTTTATTTTTATTGAGCTCTACATTTTTCTTTGCTCCCCTTCCTACCTCTCCCCTTCCCTTCAACCCTCCCGCAAGACCCCCATGCTCCCAATTTACTTAGGAGATCTTGTCTTTTTCTACTTTCCATGTAGATTAGATCTATGTAAGTCTCTTATGTCCTCATTGTTGTCTAAGTTCTCTGGGATTGTGATTTGTGGGCTGGTTTTCTTTGCTTTATGTTTAAAAACCACCTATGAGTGAGATAATTGTCTTTCTGTGTCTGGGTTACCACACTCAAAATGATGTTTTCTAGCTCCATCCATTTTCCTGCAAAATTCAAGCTGTTGTTATTTTTTTCTGCTGTGTAGTACTCCATTGTGTAAATGTACCACATTTCCCTTATCCATTCTTCGGTCGAGGGACATTTAGGTTGTTTCCAGGTTCTGGCTATGACCAGACTCTAAGATTTTCAATAACTTTATGTCAGCCCCTCCTTAATGTGTGATTTTTCCCTGTATCTGTCACTTAATAGTTCTAGATGGTTGTTGCAGCCCCAGGTTATTCCTTTAGTCTCCCAGGAGGGCAGGAAGCAAGAGGCTTTTCTCTAAGGCTTTCTCTCAGAAGTTCTGACTGATATGTGGTTCCTGTCCCACCTCTTTATTTGATTGTCCAGTTGGTTGCCAGTATTTGTCAGTGTCAGCACTGTTGACAGTGGAGCTGCAGGATTCTTTATGTGAGTAAGTGTCCACTCTGTTGTGGAATGTTTACCTACCTCTGCTCCTTTACCCACTAAATGTCAGTACCGTCTCCACGGTAGTGATGGCAAAAACAGACACTGTTTCTGGTAAGAATTTCTGCCTTAGCTAATCTCTAGAGAAAGAGAATAGACTATCTTGACTACTTTAGCTCAGTCATGATTTGTCACCTGGGATTGTAAAAGGGGAAGGGAGCTTTCCTTCCAAAAACAAAAGGTCTCACAGACTACAAAACCTGTTCTGAGGCCAGACATGATGAGTCATACTTTCAATCCTAGCATTCAGGACACAGAAGTAGGCAACCCTGTGAGTCTCAGGCCAGTTTGGTATACAGAGAAGGTTCAAGGCCAGCCAGAGATAAATGGTGAGACCCTGTATCATAAAGAAAGGAAGCTGTGTTCCATTAGCAAGGTAAAATGTTGCCATATAAAGAAGACAGCTGCGGCAGGACTAATAATCGGACAACCTTAAGCAAGCGCTGCATAAGAAAGAGAAGTGGTGCACACACCCCCATTCTCACACACATAAGAAAGAGAAGTGGTGCACACACCCCCATTCTCACACACAAACTCAAATACTGAGATTCAAATGGGAATTTCATCACAAATGAACGGTTAAAAAAATCATAAAAGGGGGCTGGAGAGATAGCTCAGCAGTCAAGAACACATGCTGTTCCTGCAGAAGACATGAGTTTAGTTCCCTGCGCCCTTATTGTAGCTCACCACTGTCTATAACTACAGCTCCAGAAAATCTGATTTCTTCCTCTGGCCTCCACAGTCACTGTAGACACAAGTTATTCACATATGCAGGAAAAATGCTCATACATATCAATAAAAATTAATATCTTTAAAATATGTTTTCCATTCTTTGCCTCAGAGTGAGCATAAGTTATTAAGACTGGCACCAAACATACATTGTTAAGAAAAGCTAAATTGTAACAATTTGGGATTTCCTTATTTGAAACTTAACATCCTTGATGAATAGCAAGCTGTCCTGTAGCGCTGAACTGCAGGCGTGGGACCTTGTTTCTTGAAGCTAGAGCAGACTGGACAGTGGTGGTTACGTGACGCTTTCACTCCACTCTCACATTGTTTTCTTTTAGGCTGATTCTATCAAAAATGGTGTGCAGCTTCTTTCCAGAGCCTATACTATTGACCCTAGCAACCCTATGGTACTGAACCACTTGGCAAACCACTTTTTCTTCAAGAAGGTAAAAAATCATTTACTTGATATTTAAATCTGATTTTTTGAGTGTAGTGAGTACATGAGTTTTGTTTTAGTTGGGAAGAAATTTGAAAATGTCATTTTGTTTTTTTATTCCCAAATTAGAGCTTGTATTAGTTGCCCAGGGATGAGTACACATTTATTTATTCTCTGACTTAATTATGTATTGGCACTTTGCACTGTGTGCAACCTGTGATCAGATGTGAGATAAGTAAGACTGCTGTCTGCACTCACACAGGCGTGGAAGCTCATTAAATATGAACATAAAGGCCTCTGCTCATAGAGAAATAAGGACGTGATCAAGTGGCAAAGGGGGGATTTCACCACAGTGCAGAAGCTCTTCTTGTGTTAGACTGGGTGTCATTGGGTGGTTGAAAGAGGAAAGGCAGAGGTTGAAGAGACCCTTAGCCTTTGGAGAAGTCAGGACATAGCATGTAGCCTACAACAGGTGTTGTGTTAGGCCCAGTTAGGGGCGCGCTTGCTTCATAAATTTGGCTTCAGTTGTTGTATATGCACCAGAGTCTCTTTATTTTTACCTGTTGATCCTACCTATTAGTTCCAACAATTTTGTGGAAGCAGCAGTGTTTTAGATTTCTTAGCATACCAAATCCAAGATACTACTGCTAAAAGTTCTTCGTTTTAAAAGTTTTTACTAGCATATATTAATCATACATAATGGGTTTCTCTTGACATTTTCATATATGTATATAATATGCCTTGATTATATTTCCCTCTCACCTCCCTCCTGCTGATTCCTTCCTCTTTCCAATTAGTCCCTCTGATATTTTGTCTTATATTTGATGACCCATGAGTCTAATTAGTATTGCTCGTAGCAACTTGGGTGAGGGGTTGTTCACAAGCTTATGGGTAGCTTACCAGAGGAATACTGCTAAAGAAAATGTCTCTCTCACTCACCGATGACAAAATCTTTACACAAAGAACAGGAAAGTTTTTGTTTCTTGTTTTTTGGTTTTTTTTAAAGATTTATTTATTAATTATATATACAGTATTCTGTCTACATATATCCTATAGGCCAATAGAGGGTACCAGATCTCATTACAGATGGTTGTGAGCTACCATGTGGTTGCTGGGAATTGAACTCAGGACCTCTGGAAGAGCAGTCAGTGCTCTTAACCTCTGAGCCACCTCTCCAGCCCAGAACAGGAAAGTTTAACCTGCCTTACTGGAATCAGGGGCTAAACTGTACTATGAACTTTAAAATGCTTGTGTAACAAAAATGTATCAACTTTATTAATATGAGCTACTGTACTGTTCCTGTTGTTACTCATGTACTCAGTGCTTACTAAATCCCAAACATTGTTAAAAGTGCATTCCCAGTACTTAATTCTGTAATGATCACATCTACCCTATGAGGTAAGTAGTCTGATCTGTCCATCCTCCCTCTCTTCTCCCTCCCTTTCTCTCCCTCCTTTCCTCCCTTTCTTGTGCATGTGTGTGCACATGAACATGTGCATGTGAGTACACAGTTACAGTTGTGTGGAGGCAAGAGTTTGGTGTCAGATATCTTCCTCTATAACCCTTTACCTTTTTTTTGCAGATTTTATTTATTTTTATCTTTTGTGTTTATGAATGTTTTGCCTGCATGTATGTTTGTGCGCCACATGGTGCTTGGTGCCCAAGGAGATCAAAAGAGGGCATTGGAGCCCCTGTAACTGGAGTTAGAGAAGGTTGTAAGCCACCATGTGGGTGCTAGAAACCTAACCTGGGTCCTCTGCAAGAGCAGCAAGCTCTCTTGATTGCTGAGTCATTTCTTTTTCTTTTCTTTCTTTCTTTTTTTTTTTTCAAGATTTATTATGCATATAGTGATCTGCCTGCAGGTATGCCTGCAGGCCAGAAGAGGGTACCAGATCTCATTATGGATGGTTGTGAGCCACCATATGTTTGCTGGGAATTGAACTCAGTGCTCTTTAACTGCCGAGCCATCCCTCCAGCCCCACTGAGTCATTTCTTTAGTCCCTCGCACCTCAGTTTTTGAAATGGACCTGCACTCATGTCGCCATGACTGCATAACTCTTACCAACTGAGCTGTCTCTATCCTGTGTCTATTTTCTTAGTGAGTAAATTGTGGGTGATCTAATAACTCAGACTTAATACTGAATCAATCCTGTTTGATGCTTTACTTCTTGCAGTTGTGGAAGCATAATGATTATTCATTAAGCATTAGGTTATAATTGTTACAGTGCTAAAGTTTATTTAGGGAGAAGATGAAAATATACCTTATGGCTAAATGAAATGTTACCAGTTAAACCACTATTCAAGCAATCTTCTGACATCACTCAATTGATTTTTCTGGCCATCAACTTCAGGATTATAGTAAAGTGCAGCACCTGGCTCTCCATGCATTCCACAACACAGAGGTGGAGGCTATGCAGGCAGAAAGCTGCTACCAGCTGGCTCGGTCATTCCATGTTCAGGTAAGACCATTAGCACCTTTCTAAATATTTAGTCCTTTTAATTACAGGATTTCGGTTTTCTGACCACTTTTGTACCTGTTACCTGTCTTGTTTTATTCTCGTTTATCAGGAGGATTATGACCAAGCCTTTCAGTACTACTATCAAGCCACGCAGTTTGCGTCGTCCTCCTTCGTACTACCGTTTTTTGGTTTGGGACAAATGTATATTTATCGAGGTGACAAAGAGAATGCGTCCCAGTGCTTTGAGAAAGTTTTGAAAGCTTACCCCAACAATTACGAAACTATGAAAATTCTTGGTTCTCTCTATGCTGCTTCAGAAGATCAGGAGAAACGAGACATAGCCAAGGTATGTTGTAAACCTTAGCTACCCTGAGCCTCGGGAGTATGAGCAGATTATGGTAGCCATGGTTTGTTTGGTTGGTTGGTTTTTAACTTTGACAGCATTATTTGAATGATCTCATTTATCCTAGGGCCATTTGAAGAAGGTCACAGAACAGTATCCTGATGATGTGGAAGCTTGGATTGAATTGGCTCAGATCTTAGAACAGACTGATATACAGGTATTGACGTCGACTTTTCATATCCTAAATGATGTGTTTCTCTTTGTTCTGTGAGTAAACCTTACTCTGTCCACTGTAAAAATGCAGGGTGCCCTCTCAGCCTATGGAACAGCCACCCGCATCCTGCAGGAGAAAGTGCAGGCCGATGTCCCCCCTGAGATCCTGAATAATGTTGGGGCCCTCCATTTTAGACTTGGGAACCTCGGAGAAGCAAAGGTGGGAAAACAGAAACGTTCCTTTTTCTCTATGCTTGACCAGGCTACAGGAACTTTGCTCAGCCATATCCCATAAGAATGCGTTTTCTACCTCACAGAAATACTTCCTGGCATCACTGGACCGTGCAAAGGCAGAGGCCGAGCATGATGAACACTATTACAACGCCATCTCCGTTACCACGTCCTACAATCTAGCCAGGCTCTATGAGGCCATGTGTGAATTCCACGAAGCAGAGAAACTGTACAAAAACATTTTACGAGAGCACCCTAACTACGTTGATTGTAAGAATTTTAAGCTGCTTTTGTGTGATAAAATTCCTAAATTCTCTTAATAACAGAAAACTTATTTAGAAAAGAAAGTCTTTGTTAAAATCAATAGTAACTTTTTTTTAAAGAGGTCTAATACTCTTTTTTTCTCTAAAGCAATTTTGTCTCCTTAAAAAAAGATGCAGCCTGAGGGGTAGTTCTCATCTGTAGTACTGGCGCTAAGGAGGCAGAGGCAGGAGCATCAGGGATTTAAGGCCAGCTCCCCTACCTAGCAGGTTTGAGACCCGCCATGTGTATGAGGCCCTGTCTCAAAAAGTGGATCAGCAACAGTCTCTTGAGCTGTGTTCAGTGGCAGGTTGTGCCCCTGCCCTGTGAGCCAGCTGCAGCCCCTGGCATGTTTTATAACGGGCATAGTTTGTAAGTTACCTTCTTTAACTTTGCACCAACATTTTTACATTGTGTGATAGTAAGACAGTAGTTTTTTTTCTTGAAACAGTTATTACTAAAATGTCCTAATTTGAGTTTTTACTGCGGGCACTGTAAATTATTGACATTTTAAGTTAACCTGTATATGCTTTGTAGCAATTCTTTCTTTTCCAAGGTTCCACTCTCCGTAGTTTCATTTGCCTACACTCAAGTCTGCTCTCAAAATACTATATGAAAAATTCCATAAATAACTCCTGAGTTCAAATTGTGCACCATTCTGGGTATTGTGGTGAAATCTTAGGCTGCTCTGCTCCACCCAGCCCAGAGTGTGGATCATCCACTACTTGATGCCCATACTGGTGGTGACCGAGCAGCCGTTTCAGAGAGCAGCTTGACAGGGCATCAATGTTTGTGTGCATAGTGGTGCACACATCTTTACTCCCAGCACTCAGAGGGCCATCCAGAGGTAATAGTAAGACCCTGTCTCAAAAGAGAAAAAGAAAGATTGATCTAGTGGTGCAGTTTCTCTTTTGCCTAGCTACAGTGAGGTGTCATGTGTCTTCATATATGAGGCTTTTCTCTTGTCTGTCTGAAAGTAGTCACAAAGCATGACTGTTCCAAAAGGAAGACTTTGGTGTTAGGACCGCTTTAGACCTGAGATAGTGAAGATGAATTAAATGTGCACTTTCAGGCTATCTGCGCCTAGGAGCCATGGCCAGAGATAAAGGAAACTTCTATGAAGCTTCAGATTGGTTTAAGGAAGCCCTTCAGATCAATCAGGTTGGTGGTGTTCACCTTTTACCTGCAAAATCAGTCTGTCCGTGTAATAGCTCTAATGTTCCTAATCCATGGCATCTGTGTTTAATGACTTGTTTTGGTTTTGTTTCACTTGTTAAGGACTTTAAGAAGTATAATAGGGCTGGAGAGATGGCTCAGAGGTTAAGAACACTGACTGTTCTTCCAGAGGTCCTGAGTTCAATTCCCAGCAACCATATGGTGGCTCACAGCCATCTATAATGAGGTCTGATGCCCTCTTCTGGAATGCAGACATAGAAACTAACACTGTATACAAAATAAATAAATATTTTTTTAAAAAAAGAGTAAAATAGTTTGTATAATTAATCATGTTATAATCAGCACCATTTTTTTTTAATATATAGAACGATTTCCTGCCTATTTTTCCCTTCCTTGTGTGTGTCCTGGCCTTTCACCTGCACTCAGCCCAGTGGCTTGCCGAGAATGTTTCCAGAGTCAGTGTCTTAGCATTCCTTAGGTGATTTCAGTTCTGATTGTGGCTCCCAGGAAGAGGAGACTGCACACTGCAGCCTGGAGCCTGAAAGACAGGTTTACACGTTGTTATCTGCTCCTACTGCCTGGCAGTACACTGTTGTTTTTACTTCTTCCCATTCTGTTGCACTTTGTTTGCTGATATGACACTAAATTGTTCTTGAAACTCACTAATCGGTCTGAATTCCCAGTCTGAAAACCACCATTGTAGTGTAGCTGTAAACATCTTCAACTGTTAGCTATGGTAAGATGACTGATTTCTCAGATCCCAGATTGGAAAGTTTACTTCTTTATGTTTGCATAGGATCACCCGGATGCCTGGTCTTTGATTGGTAACCTCCATCTGGCAAAACAAGAATGGGGCCCAGGCCAGAAGAAGTTTGAGAGGATATTAAAGCAGCCAGCCACACAGAGTGACACTTACTCTATGCTGGCCCTTGGCAATGTGTGGCTTCAGACTTTGCACCAGCCAACCCGAGACCGAGAAAAGGTAATCCCCTTGTCTCCTTCAACAAGATTGCTATCTGTGTCCTTGTTGAATTTTCCAGTAATTCTTCTTTCTTATAGGAAAAGCGTCATCAAGACCGTGCCCTGGCCATCTACAAACAAGTCCTTAGAAATGATGCCAAGAACCTGTATGCTGCCAATGGCATAGGTAACTAGAAGCCTTGGTTCATAGTGATTGGTGAAATTAGTGCTTTGGGGGGTATCAGTACAGCTGTTTTACTATTGGACTTTTAGTTGTTTTGGCAGAGGTTAGGGCATTCTCAACGTCAGCCTTTGTGTGACTTTAGGAGCAGTTTTGGCTCACAAGGGATACTTCCGTGAAGCGCGTGATGTGTTTGCCCAAGTGAGAGAAGCGACGGCAGATATCAGTGATGTGTGGCTGAACTTAGCACACATCTACGTGGAGCAGAAGCAGTACATCAGCGCCGTGCAGATGGTAAAGTCTTCACCTCTCCGGACGTTTGCATGTCATATGGAACCAATGCTTCCTTAACCCTTCGGGCCAGTCCTCTGATACTGTCTGTCCAGATGTTTGTAACCATGTAATGACAAAACCAGGTAGATGTGAGTCCCAGTGCCAGAAGTGCATGCCAGAAAATATCCTCTTTGATCGTTTCCCTCTCTGTAAAGTGTGGGGGTCTTTTAACCTCAGGATTTTGTGAGGATCTATTATGAAAAGAACTAGGCACTAACATGAAGAACAAGTGTCCACTAAACAGCAGGGTTTAATGTTTATTCTTTCAGTTTCTGAAGTGAGTCCAGTTTCAGAAATGTTAAGTGAGTTTATTGTTAATGGTTTGTTTTGTTTTGTTTGTTGTTTTATTGTTAACAGTCTCTGTATTGCCCTAGCTGATCTTTTAAGTGCCTTTAAAGAGTCCTCCCACTTCAGCCTCCCAAGTACATGGGATTATAGCCTCATACAACTGCCCTCAATTTAAATGGTTTATCTTTTTTGTTTGTTTGTTTGGTTGGTTTGGTTTGGTTTTTGAGATAGGGTTTCTCTGTGTATCCCTGGCTGTCCTGGATCACTTTGTAGACCAGACTGTCTTTGAACTCAGATCCACTTGCCTCTGTCTGAGAGTACTGGGATTAAAGTTGTGCACCACAACCACCCAATTTAAATGATTTACCTTTTAAGATTTACTTTTACTTGTGTGTGTGTGTGTTGTTTGAAAGTATGCCGTGTGTGTGTGTGTGTGTGTGTGTGTGTGCCTGCCTGAAGAGACCAGAGAAAAGGCATTGATCTCCTGGAGCTGGAGCTACAAGCTGTTATGAACCACGTGACTATGGGTACTGGGTGATAAACCATCCCAATCTGCAGAATAGCAACACTGCCTTCTAGAAATGCAACTTAGTCATCAGGGATAGTGCTGGGAAAATTGTTTTACCATCTCCCATGAAATTGCTTTGTCAGTAGCCTTGAACAGGTTGTATGCTTGTGGTTAAAAAGTGTCACGTTTAAATAAAAATTAGCTCTGGGGGCTCCGGAGATGACTCGGTGGGAGCGCTTGTTGCATAGTCATGAGGACCTAAAAGTTCAGATACCCATGTAAAATCTGACCATGCCTATTTGTAATCTCACTGCTGTCAGAGCTAGACAGGAGGGTCACTGGGGCAGTGTGTGTGTGGCAAGCTCTGGGTTCCATGAAAAGTCCCAGCTCAAGGTAAGGCAGCAAGTGATAGGTCAGAATACCTGACATCCTCTTCTGGCCTCTGTAGCCACCTCTGCCATACATTTGAGATACATGCCACACATATTAGAGTAAGAAAATGAAAAAAAAATTAACTTAGATATTCATTTCTTAGTCTGAGCAGCAAACGAACTGAAGTTAACAAAATAACTTCCTCTGCTCATTGCCACTAGTTTGCACAGATCTCAAGAGGACAATGTTAAAGGATGTCATGCACAGGAGCCAGGATATAACTTGTCATAGTGATGGGCACGTGGAGTCTAGATACTGTCCTAAAGATAGAAGAAAGGGTGCTGAAGGCGAGGCAGACAAACAGACAGACTTAGTCTCTTTACCCTTCCATTCTGCATTGGTACAAATTTCAAGTGAAAAAACTACTTTGATTCTAGTTTTTCTGTGGTCAGATTTTTATGTTGTAAAAATGCATACTGGCAAATGAGTCAAGTCCAGATTATTCTCTGAAATTAACCAGAGTGGAGTGTCTTTTCAGAGTCTTAAAACTGCTTTGAAATCTGACATAGCATGAAAATAGACTTCTACCCGGCTGTCTCTAACTACCGTTCCCATTCTGTAGTATGAGAACTGCCTCAGGAAGTTCTATAAACACCAGAACACTGAAGTCGTGCTCTACCTGGCCCGGGCCCTCTTCAAGTGCGGCAAGTTACAGGAGTGCAAGCAAACTCTGCTGAAGGTAACAGGACTGTGCCCGCCCACGCCCCTGAACTGCTGCCTGCTTCCTACATGTTAAAATTCCTTTGTGCCATTCAGTCATAAGAAGTTATTTGCTTTGCTTTCTGTTTACAGGCCAGACATGTGGCACCGAGTGATACAGTTCTGATGTTTAATGTGGCCTTAGTCTTGCAAAGATTAGCTACCTCTGTCCTAAAAGATGAAAAAAGTAATCTGAAGGAAGTCCTTAATGCTGTGAAAGAGCTGGAGCTTGCACACCGGTAAGAATTTTGAAGACGAAAGGCTTTTAAGTGGTTTGCTTCCTTGCAACTATCTCAAAAGACACAAAAAAAATTGACTTCCCTCAAAAAATAATCATTGGTGGAAAGCAAGCATTGGGGGTTTAGCACAGGTTAGTTGTAGGGAAAACTCACAGCTACCATGTGGTGGCGCCCAACTCCAAGCAGAGTGCTGCTGCACTAGACTCTGGAAGCCTGATCCCTAGACCTAACTGGCTGGCTGTGGGCTTGCCCTAGATTCTTCATTAACCTCTCAGCAGTATGAGCCAGCATTTTCCACATGTGAACTGTTTAGTCTCCACTTGTGCTGGTGTCTTTATGGAATATTGGTTTTCATAAGCTGGGATTAAGATCTTATCACTTACTGCTTACCATATTTATTCAGCGCAGTTCAAATGTCTTTAACCTTATAGGACTTAGCAATTCAGTGTGTGCTAAAATGAAAACCTCACATCTATGATTGATCAGCAATGCTTATGTTCTTCTCTGTTAATATCTCTTCCCTCATCTGAAGTGTGAGTGCTGTCCTGACCTAAGCCCCACCCACGGTGCTGATACTTAGTAAATTTACTGTTTACTACCTGTTTGTTTACTGATACTATTAAATATATTTTTGTCTTTCTTGATGGACTTCTGTGTATTAAACCTTGAGGGTATTAATGATAGGATTAGTGAAATATCTTCTCTTTTCCCTTTAGATATTTCAGTTACTTGAGTAAAGTAGGAGATAAAATGAGATTCGATTTGGCTCTTGCTGCCTCTGAAGCCAGGTAATGCCTGTTCACACAAGTGGCTTTGGGGGAAGTGGTTGTTTTGGTGTGGATCAGGAGAGTGTTGCCATAACACGGTGGTTCCTGGCCTTCTTGGGGTCACTTGTTTCCTCTCCTTGGGGCGTCCCTCCCCGCAGCACCTTTCAGACTTTGAGGAAACTGATGGAGTGTAAGTACTTAGGTTGTAGGAAAATCCTTTTTCTTTCTTCTTTCTGTTGTCCTTTTGAGGCAGAGTCTTGCTCTACAGCCAGGCTAGAACTCAGGATCCTCCGAGGACTGAGCTGCAGACCTGAGCCACCACCCCAAGCTGAGAAATACTTCTTTGCTTTACACACCTTGTGTCATTGAGTCAAGACAGGAATCCTGAGTTGGGGAACTTAGCACAGTTGATAGCATGGACACGGGTTTAGGTAAACAGGTGTCCTAACTGCGATGCTATTTCTCTGCATTTGAAATGTTAGGCAGTGCTCCGACCTACTGAGCCAGGCCCAGTATCATGTGGCCCGAGCACGCAAGCAGGATGAGGAAGAACGGGAGCTGCGGGCCAAGCAGGAGCAGGAGAAGGAGCTCTTAAGACAGAAGCTTCTCAAAGAGCAGGTGCGTGCACACACTGTGTTGGGAGCTAGTCCTCTGTCTACTCTTCTCTGGTGGTTTGGTCACTTTCAGAGCATTTTGGTAAGTCCCCATACTTCCGTCTAGGAAGAGAAACGTCTCAGAGAAAAGGAAGAGCAAAAGAAACTTTTGGAACAGCGGGCCCAGTATGTGGAGAAGACCAAAAACATCCTCATGTTCACTGGCGAGACTGAAGCCACAAAGGAGAAGAAAAGAGGCGGAGGTGGAGGGCGGGTAAGACCAGACTGGATGTCCAATCTGCCTTTGGGCTTTCTGAAATGAAGAGCACAGTTTAGCTGACTGTTCTTAGTTCCTTAGTCTTGACTTCCTCTACCAACATGGGATTGCAGTGTCCAGTGTGGGCAGTGGCCCTGCCTTCTTAGTGCGTGTGGTGCTGTGGGTCACAGGTCATGACACACACGTGCTTTGCAGTTCTGCTGCCGACCTCACCAAGCCAGGTGGTCCTGCTTTCATGACGGGTTGACTTACACTTCTTTGACTTCACATGGTGTAAATATGAGCATTCGGTAGAGCTGTACTTTGAATCTTGGTCTTTTGCCAAGTTGAGATATTTGGCATGAAGTTCTGTTGTGATGTTGGGTGGCTGCAGAGACCCACAGCTCCCAGTCAGCCATGTGATCCTGAGGGTGAACAACCAATACTTTTCTGCATTCTGTGGGCTAAATGGGTTAAATGCATTTTTAATTGAAGATGTGTTTGCCTTGTGCTGAGTTCTCAGGTAGTTGATGATATTTGCCAAATCTGAGACCGTGGGACCCCTCATGAAATTCAGGCCTAGCCACGCCCCTCTTCCGTGTGACTTAGTAAAGGTCTGCCCTTGTCAGAGACCTGCAAGGACACTGTACGGTTCTCTGCACCCTAGCAGTGCTGTCAGTACCTGGAAGTAGCTGACTGGGCTCTCTTTGGATCGTAGCGTTCTAAGAAAGGAGGCGAATTTGATGAGTTTGTCAATGACGACACCGATGACGACCTCCCTATATCCAAAAAGAAGAAGAGAAGGAAGGGCAGTGGCAGTGAACAGGAAGGCGACGAGGAGGAAGGTGGAGAGAGGAAGAAGAAGAGGAGGAGAAGGTAATGTCCTCATTAATGTTCTAAGTGTCTAGAAAGTCAGGAGACCTTTCTTTTTCTCTATTATAAATCTCCATCTTCCTAAACCGACTCCCTGCTTTAACCTATTTCAATATCCCACGGACTTAATTTACATGTATATCTACTTGTCCCCTGAAGACAGCTGATAGTCACCATTGTCTTTCTTGTCGTTTTGTTTCTTGAAGCAGGGTCTCATGTACCCAAACTGGCTTTGAATTCACTCTGTAGCCGAGGTTGTTCTTGAACTCCCAGAGATCTACTTGTCTCTGCCTCTGTACTGGGATTATGGGAGTGCAGCACCATGCTCAGTTTTCTTTCCTTGTATTTTGGACACGGATGTGAAGTGAGCAGCCTGGGTGGCAGCTGCCCGACTATGCCAGTGCAGTACTGGCATCACTGAGCCCGTTCCTCTCTGGGCTGTGAATGAATGGTTGGGAAAGTGCCTTTTCACCGCCTGCTGCCATCTGTCTTGAGGTCCAGGGTGCCCCAAGCTTTCCTGCCCAGGAATCTCCTTTCAGCTCTTTTACCCAGGCCTGCCCGTATCTCTTGGCCAGTTACCCTTGAGAGAGAATTGTGACTCCATTAGACACATGTATAGCTGTGGTGCGGATCTTGGTAGCAGCTGGGGAGGAAGGAAGAGTAGGGGAAGATGTGGATCCCAAACCCAGGGCATTTCTCACTCACTCACTGCAGTGAGCACAGGTTGCAGTGGAAGTGAAGGAGGGAGCTGCACAGGGACGAGTTAGTAGCAGATGTCATGCAAACCAGTGGTTGGCAGACTGTGGGACCTGTGACTTGAGCTGTAGTAGAGCCGAGGTCAGCATCCATGTAGAAAGGTTCTGCTGCGATGGCAAGGTAACCTCAGTCCCGGTAGGTCCAAACCTCCTAACAAGCCCTTGATGCTCACTTTTTAAGACCTCAGAAGGGAGAAGAGGGATCTGATGATGATGAAACAGAAAATGGCCCTAAACCAAAGAAGCGTCGTCCACCAAGAGCAGAGAAGAAGAAGGCTGTAAGTTCTAGAGCTGTCACCCTGCGCGCGCGTGCGTGAGTGCGTGCGTGCGTGTGTTAGACTGATGGGGTGCCACAGTGTACTTATTCTGCAGCTTCTTCCAACAGAAATGTTTGTTTTCATTGGAGACTGTTGATTCTGTTGCTATAATAAACCTGGTCTAATAAGATGTCCCAGTAACGTGAGAATTTCAACTAATGACCATGCTTGACATTTCTCTAGCCCAAGCCAGAACGCCTGCCTCCTTCAATGAAGGGAAAAATAAAATCCAAAGCCATTATATCATCGAGTGATGATTCTTCAGATGAGGATAAACTGAAAATTGCCGATGAAGGGTAAGACCCCCCCCCCGTAAATTCTAATGGCAGGTAATCCCCGTCTGATGAAGGGCAAGAATTTCCCCAGGGTATATTCTAACAGTAGCAAGCCACAGAGGCAACTAACCAGCCCTCTGATTCTCTTCTTTGTCTCTGTTGTCCTGTGAGGGAAAACAAAACTAGAGACTAGATGGCTGGGAGTGGTCAGTGTGCCATGCTGTCTTCTCCCCAGCCTCAGGCTGGCATTGTATTTCACTGACTTCCTGCCTCAGACTTGTACTCCATGCTGAGTTATCTTCGCCTCTTGTAGCTAAAAGACATCACAACAGACATCTTATTCAGAAACTTGGCTGATGTTCCTAGGTGGCATAATCATTTCTAAGCAAAGTGTCATTCTGCTGCCCAGCACTGACAGGCTAGCAGTACTACGAGTAGCCTGGCCCTGGCCTTGAGATGGGGAATTTAGTTTCCATTTCCTCCCCTGCTGGGCAGGTGACACATCTCTGCCTTCCTTGGTGGATTTGTGCTAGACAGCCTGTGCAGAGTTCACCCTGAGCTCACGGCCGTGGTGAAGTGACAGCTGGCTGTGGTAGCCTCTGGAGCTCACGTGCCTACCCCAGCCTCCTGGGTAGCGCTTTCTCTGCCACACTCCCTGAACCCTCCATTGTTCCAGCGCCAGTGGACGGTATGTCCTTCCTGGGAGACTGACAGGTGAGGAACATACAGATGGAAAGAGAGGCTCAGGAGTTCCCCAAGGAACTTCTTTAGATGCAGTGGAGCCCAAACCACTTTACAATGGGCTTGTGTGTCCTCCTGGAGTTGGTGGAGGCTGCTGTTTTGACAAGAGTGGGGCACTTAAGTACAGTAGGAGGAGGAGGATAGGGAGTGGCGGTTGGCCGGGGTCACTGTGCCACAGGTACACTGATATCAGTGCAGCAGAGAACCCCTTGAGCCCGTGGGTTCCTTCTGCTCTGCAGAGACTGGCTGATACTAATCTGGATTGCTTTTCCCTGCAGGGCTGCTTGGCCCTTGTCCTCACTGTGTCCCCCAGGCTGAAGGGTCTGAGGCCAGTGAGGAGGTGCAGAATTGTCTAGGAATGGGGCTGTGAGGCTGAACTGCTGCCAGGCTTGTGTCCACAGTTGAGGCATTTGACTAGAAATAAATAAGTTTGCTGTGCCATTTGCATCAATTAAACTTGTCCCAATCATCATGAAAGGGGTCTGAGTATTGGAGCAGCTGAATGATCTCAGAGAGAATGCCAGTGCTGTCCTCTCGGTCACATCTTCATATTCTCAGAGTGGCCTGGCCTAGATAGTGCACATATGGTTCCTTCTTTCTAACTGGGCACAAGGAGTCTCTCTGCAGTCCGTAGAGATGTCGTCCCTTCGGAAGGGAGTGGCGCATTTCACCTCCCTCACCCTTCCTGGTTTGAGTCGGGTTGAAATGTGTCATGGAACCCAGAGCTGTGGAAGATGTCTAAGGCAGCTTCTCAGTGGCCATGTGGTTCTAACCTATTGGAGCTCCAGGAGGCCTTCCACCGGCTCCTGAAGCCTCACTTCCCTGACACTTGTCCACTGACTGGGGGAACATGGGGACAGAAGCTAGTAAGCTGATGGACCTTAACCCCAGCCACCTGCCTGATAAACCTCACCCCTGTGAAGACCTGGTGCCTTCACAAAGAGCAGCAAGGTCACCTTTCGGGTGTCTGTTGACATGGATGTTCTAGGACAGGAAGTGGCCTGTTGTCCCAGTCTTAGGACTCCTGAGCCTCAGCCACCATCAGAGGGCCGGCGTTTGACCTTTGTGCCTAGAATTTGTTGATATGGTCAGCTGAAGACTTCCCACCCTTTGGGCTTTTGAAAAGCCCACATTTACAGAACAGCACAAAAAACAAGTATCACAGGAGCCCCTGTGTCCGGCACCAGGCGTGACCCAGAGCAGAAAGTGCTGCCCAGTGTCCTCGTGTCTCACCCACACCTCTCTCCTCCAGACATCCTAGGAACAGCAACAGCGATTCCGACGATGATGAGCGGCCCAATAGACGGGCCTCCTCTGAGAGCGAATCGGATGACAACCAGAACAAGTCTGGCAGTGAAGCGGGCAGCCCTCCGAGGTCGGGAAGACAGGAGTCAGATGAGGATTCCGACAGTGACCAGCCGTCCAGAAAGAGAAGGCGCTCGGGCTCCGAGCAGTCGGACAATGAGTCTGCGCAGTCTGGGAGAAGCCCTTCCGGAGGTTCAGAAAATGATTCTCGCCCAGCTTCTCCAAGTGCAGAGTCCGACCGTGAGTCGGAGCAGGGGTCTGACAATGAGGGCTCTGGAAATGAATCAGAACCAGAGGGCTCAAACAATGAGGCCTCAGACCGAGGCTCAGAGCACGGATCAGATGACAGTGACTAGGTTTTGTTTCATCCAAGACTCCTGGGGGGGGGGAGCTTTATAATATATAAAAGCTGTGATAAAAACATTTCAGATGCTTAGTCATTTGTGAAGTTTTCTTAAGGCAATTTTTTTTCTATTTGTATATTTACTAAACTCCAAGAGACATTTCCTGTGCTCGATCCCGTGTCTGAAACTGGAGCAGTGAGATCCTTCATTGCGGTGCAGCTCCACTGTCGTATGTGAAAGCTGCATTCCTGCAAGGCTTGCCCAGGCTAGCCTGGTCTCTGGCAGGCAGCATGCTGCTATGTATGGTTTTTGTTGCAAGCTTACCAAATGTTGCAGAAACCGGGATATATGCCTTTGTTCCCTGGTGAGTTGAAATAGAAGTTTTCTTTCTGGAGGATGGGAAGAGATGTCCCTGTGTAGAACTCTGAAAGGAAGGTGTTCACAGTGTGAGGCTGCAGCCATGGTCAGAGTTGCAAACACTGGGGTGGGTAAGCTGTGGAAAGTGCTTTTCTGTTGTTAGAATGGGAAGACCTCCCCCAGCCACGTAATAAATCCTTTACCAACCATGGTGGGTAGTCGTGTGTCCTTTTTTTGCTCAGTAACATATTTAATACAAATATATTAAGCAAAAATTTGAAGAACTGTCCAAATCAAAGGCAGCTTCCTCAAGGCTTTTGTAATTCATGGCAGATTCCTGGAGGCTTTCTTTTTAAATAGACAAGAAAACGGAATTTTTATTTATTTTTGAGGCAAGGTCTCTACATTGCTCTTTCTGTCCTAGAATCCAGTATGTAGACCAGGCTGGCCTCCAACTCACAGACATCCACCTCTCTCGTGCTTGGATTAAAGTGTGCAGCACCACACCAGGAAAGGTATGCACATCACACCAGACTGAATCCGGGATTAAAGGTGTGTACCATCCATCACACCAGGCTGAATCCGGGATTAAAGGTGTGTACCATCTATCACACCAGGCTGAATCCGGGATTAAAGGTGTGTACCATCTATCACACCAGGCTGAATCCGGGATTAAAGGTGTGCACCATCTATCACACCAGGCTGAATCCGGGATTAAAGGTGTGTACCATCTATCACACCAGGCTGAATCCGGGATTAAAGGTGTGTACCATCTATCACACCAGGCTGAATCCGGGATTAAAGGTGTGTACCATCTATCACACCAGGCTGAACAACTAGTAACACATGTTTGTAAACATTGAAAAAAAGCTTTAATGAGTATATGAAATGTGCCTAAAGTCAGTGAACTGAGAATGCAGAGGCACAAAGCCCTGTGACTACAAGTGTGTCCCTGTGGTGTGAAGTGGAGTGCAAGTGTCTGCAGAGTGTGGGGGAACCAAGGAGAAAGCAGACCAGGCCTGTTTTCCTGAAAGACAGGAGACCGGAAGACACTGGGCAGCCCCACTTCATGGAGGACCTCTGGGTGCCTGCAAGTGTGGTGACAGAGGGTGGCAGCAACTCCTGGGAAGCTGCAGGTTGGGGTTTGCTGCATGGGTGCAGGTCACACAACTCGTCCTATGATGTACAGATGGGAGGTGCGTGCCTTCTGTCACTTCTTTTACACTTTCCAGTACCCCTCAAATCTGTCCCTAGAGGGACAAGAATCCATCAAAAAGACCATTTCCTACTTGGAAGCTCCCATTACTACAGGTGGTAAATAGCAAGGCAGACCTTAGGAAAGCCAAAGATAGCGTGTAGAGTGTGGTTGCTGTTGAGGTCAGGCTGCGTCCTGCTCTTGGTTACTCCATAAGGTAAAACACTGATATTCCAGGAGACTTCATTTTATAAGCAACTTTTTAAAAATGTCTGTGCACGTAATTGCATATATGCACCACATGCATGCAGATGTTCTTGAAGGCCAGAAGATCAGATCCCCTGCGGTCAATAGTTTTTTGAGAAAGAAAGATGGCTATGGTCTCTGGGTGAACCTAGAAATAACATCTGCCAGACATCACCCATGCAGCAGAGATTAATTAGTGACTTACTTATTCCTAGGAATAGAAAGGGTGCCACTCTATAAGCTGACTGGGGTGAATTAAGACTGGGGGGGGGGTGCACATGGAAGTGTTAAAGTCACATCAGGAGGCAGAGGCAGGTGAATCTCTAAGTTCAAGGCCAGCGTGGTGTACATAAGTCCTTAGCAGCTCCAGCAGAGCTCCCTAGTAAAGTCCGCCTCAAAAGGAAGGAAACCAAGGAGACCAGGTACACACTTCATTGGACACAGCAACCAAGGAAAGGGTGTAACTCTTCCCTGGCCCCCATGGGTGCTGGACACCTGACACTGAGCTAACCAGCCTCACATCAACCAACCTAGTGTCTGAAAACCTGGTGTGTGGGTCAGAGACCAAGGACCTCTGCTTCCCTAGGGCTTCGGCTCTGTTCAGCCCCTAGCTATCGGCAAGGCCTACCTGACTGTCTGCCCTCGTGACCTGGTCCCGTCACCTGTTTCCTGCCCAGACCCATCTCCCATCTCCTGCTTCAGACAGCTTTGTCTTTCACCTAGCAGCTGGACTCTGCTGCTTGACACTCAGACCTGGATCCAACAGCTTCCCCCACCTCCCCAGCTTTCCTCCTCTGAGGCCTCTGAAACTGCTGCAGGCTCTTTAACTTGTGTTCATTCTGTAACCCTTATATACATACGGCGGTTTGAATGCGAATGGCCCCCATAGGCTGTGTTTGAATGCTTGGTCCACAATTGCTTGGTAGCACTGTTTGGGAAGTATTAGAAGGTATGGCTTTGTTGGGGGAGGTGTGTCACTGGGACGTGGGCTTTGAGATTTGAAAGCCCAATTCTCTCTCTCTCCTGTCTCTGTCTCTGTCTCTGTCTCTCTCTCTTTCTCTCAGCTCTCAGCAATTACTCCATCACTATCTTTGCCTTCCTGCTGCCATGCTCTGCACCATGGTGGTCATGGACTCATCCTCTAGGACTGTGAGCCCCAAATCAAGTACTTTCTTTTATAAGTTGCCTGGGTCATGATGTCTTATCATAGCAATAGAAAAGTAACCAAGACAGTATACAAATGTAGATACATTTACTGTGTTATGTGTGATATGAGCATTAATAATAATTAGACTGGGGAAGAGAGAATGTGGTAAGGGAGGGACAAGGAAGAGAGGAGAGAAGGAGGACGGGAGGGAGGGGAAAATTCCATCACAATGTAATATATGAAGGGAGAATTAAAAACAAAACAAAACAAAAACCCTGCATTTGCCTCAGCCAGTCTGTCAAGGCAGACAAATTATATGATAAGTTGCTATCACTGAAAGCATGAACCCTTGTGAATTTATTGTCACTCAATAAGTCCTGATATTTGCTCCTATGTGTCTAGCATATTGCATTCACATTTCTGTGGTGATTTGGCCTCAGAGGTGCCTCTGAGTAACACCCCATTTGCTTCTGTTGACTCAGCCTGTTTCTGTGTCCCGAGATTACCAGAACAGCAATGTGAGGTTCCCTCAGGCACAGCTTCCTTCTGAGCCTCCATCTTGGATCCTGGACAGTAACTACGGGAATGGTCCCCAATGGGAAAGCCCTCTGACAAAGGATCCATGCCAAACCGGCCCTGCTTGGCTGCTGCCCACTGAGACGCACAGAAACTGGCCTCTGATGTCCTGGGCCTCGGAATCTGTGTCTCAGCGGCATTAGCTCTGTTCCCTTGACGGGGCTGTTGCCAACAGCAGGCTGTGGAGAACCCGTTGGTGAAGAGCCCAGACCCTGGGACTGAGGATGTAACTTGGTTGGTTGTGTGTCTGGCATGCATGAAGGCCAAGTTTGAGGTTTGCCTGGGCTACATGAGACCCTGGAATCCAGCAATCTTGGGTCAGGATCTCACCCCACCCCACCTCCGTGCTGAGAAGCTTTGTGACCTTGGGCATGTGCGTCTTCCCAGTGGCTTCTTGGCCTCTCTGATTCAGATCATTTCTCCCGACAGTCAGGGCTGAAAACCTTGTTGGAGAAAATGATTTTCATTCTTTATTGATCAGTCAGAAGTAGACTAGGCACAACCATAAACCCAGAACTGCTGGAATAAAAAGTCAGTTTTGTTGCCATTTATGCAAGAAAAAAACATTTTTTTATTCTCAAACCAAAGCCTGAGTCTGTGTTGTCAGATGCAGTAAGCTGACAGTTCTTCCGTAACAGTAAGAGTGCACTGAGCTCTCGGGGTGCTTAGGAAGATGTAAACAGAGGAAAATGGTGAAGAGGTAAATCCCCAGGAAAATCACCCTGTGCACACATGGTCCTGGTCTTCACGCCCAGCTTGTCTGGACCAATGGGGTGAGGTCAGGTATTCCTTCATAGGTTATCCTTTTACATGTTTCCTTCCTCCTGCTCCTGGTACCACGCAGTCCTCGGAGCAAAATGCCGCTTTCAGATCAGCTACACCTGCTTGCAATAGTGTGTTAACTTTCCTCATAGAAAGATGCAGAAAAGAGGGTCACTGGACCCTCATCTGAGATTCACGCCACCCATCTCAGCCCTCTGGAGGCAGCTCCGCCCTAATTGCACCTGGCCTCAGGGGCTGGGGCGCTGCTGGAGTAAACAGGCTGTGGAAAGCTGGCTGAAGGGGACACCATGCTATGAGGAAGCCATCAATCCATGCTGGGTGAAGACTTTTCTCCCCCGCATGCTCTGTTCCATAAGTCCAGTGAACTCATTGGTTTCCCGGGTTGGTCTTTGTTCTTAGAACCCCAGGAGGAGGGAGTAGATGTTGTTGACTACTCTTAGGGAAGAAATTCTCAGAACACCAGTTTTCGGAAATTTTTTTTTGTTGTTGTTTTTAAAACAGGGTTTCTCTGTGTAACAGTCCTGACTATCCTGGAACTCCTTTGTAGACCAGGCTGGCCTCGAACTCACTGAGATCCATCTGCCTCTGCCTCCCGAATGCTGGGATCAAAGGCATGTGCCACCACTGTCTGGCCAGAAAAATATTTTTCATCTAATGCAGTTTAAGTGCCTGAGGAGTTTCTAAATAGTTGAAAATGGTATTTACTACTTCAGACCTAAAATTTCATAGATATAAACTATAGTTTTGCTATAAATCTGTATTTGGCTCTAATTTCTCACTTTTTCTCTGCTTTGTAGAAGAAATGTTTCTGGTAATATTTTCCATTCTTAAATATTATTTCTTGGAAAAGACTCTAACTTTAAGTTAATCAGAAATATTTTATGTTAATTACATATTTATTTTGTGTGCATGTATAGCCGATCCAACCTCACCACTGTCATTTCGCCAGGGTCTAACCGGTATTTGGTCATGACAGCCACAATTAACCAGTGACTGAACACTGAGTAGGTGTGAGGCTTCCAGAGAGCAGATTTCAGCTGTTTTAATGCTGGATCTGAGCTCACATTCTCATCCACCTTGTCTTTCAAATAGATCTTTAAGCCAAAGAGCCTTTTCCAGCACACATAAAGTCTTCTTTAAGAAGTCCACAGACTTTGCCAAGCAGTGGTGGCGCACGCCTTTAATCACAGCATTCAGGAGGCAGAGGCAGGATCTCTGAAAATTTGAGCCCAGCCTGGCCTCTGCTCTACAGAGTAAGTTCTAG